TTTAAAGGCAGCAGCATAGTTCAAAACATCATGTGCCTGTACTAAAAGATAGTTCAAGCTATAAAAATGTCTCTGGGCCCCAGGTTTTCTTTGGCTTAAGAAGCAGCCTGAGAAAGTTACTAAGATAACAATCATTTCTTCATAAAATACAGATGAGGGTGATGGGAAAAGGAGAACATTTCGGTATAACCAAAAGCTATGAAGAATTGAATCAGAGCAGCTCTCAGTGCTGGGTTATCAGAACTGTTAGGAACCAGTGACTATGCAGTTCCCATTCTTTCCCATTTCCAAAGTATACTGGTTCCTTATTTATCATTGTAGATTGTATGTGTGTGTGTGTGTGTGTGTGTGTGTGTGTGTGTGTGTGCACTGAGGCGGGGGGCTTCACTGTCTATAGATCAAGAGGAACTGCATCTGAACCTGACATGGACTGTGAAAGCCTAGACTTGAAGATTGATATTCTAGGGTCTTAGGATTGAGTATGTTTTATATGTTGAAGGAATTGTGATTATAGGCCAGAGAGTGAAATATGGTAGATGAATTGCATTGATACTCTCAATTCTTCACTTCTCTTTGTATTTGTACCCTTTTACAAACATATGACTTTATAATTTTACTAAAAGAGTAAATTCTATTTCTTTGCTTATTGGAATGACTTTGCCATAGGACTTCAGACTTGAAACAGCACTTATCCTTTCCTCCCCTAGCTACTTCGTGAGAACACACCAGGCTATGCCACTGTGGAATGAGAATCTTGAAGCAGAGATAAGTTACCCCAACGGTTGTAGTACACACCACCCTTTCTCAGGCAATCCAGGAGCAGTTGCCAGGCATGTGAGGGAGCTCAGCTGGTCCCACATAAATCACTGACCCAAAGATTTAAAAGGTAAAAAAGGTTATTATTCTGAGCCCAATATTTTGTGATTGTTATACATCATTATTATGGCCGTTGGTAGTCATATAATCATAAATTATCTTCATCATATGGAAAAGAGCATATGAAGAAAGTGTTAGTGAAAAACATTGTTTTGTTCTGACCAGTTAAATCCCAAAGCACCTCTTTCAAAGCAAGGATAAAATTTAAGAATTGAATTTATTATATTATCATAATGATTTATTGCAAACTGCCAGTTTCAGTAGTTGCAGATCAAGAAGTTTCTGATTTGGCAAATCTATGAATCTTAAATCAAGGCTAATTCTAAAAATCATATGACTGAAAAAAAATCTTAAGATTTTATTTGTACAAATAAGTAAGATAATTGCATTTCTTGAACCTAAGTATTTTGTAGTACTGAAGATGTACAATATAGCGTCTACAGATATATATATAGTCTAGTATCTAAAAGTTCTGAGAAATTATTTTCCTTTACATTTTAATGTCAAAATTAAAAAAAAATTTGATGATGCACATTTATTTATTTATTTATATGTAGTGCTGAGAATGGAACTCAGTGCCTCACACATGCTAGGAAAGCACTCTACCACTGAGCCACCACCCCAGCCTTAATGTCAAAATTTAAAATGTAGCTGGGCGCAGTGGCACATGCCTGTAATCCCAGCTACTCAGGAGGCTGAGGCAAGAGGATCAAGAGTTCAAAGCAAGCCTCAGCAAAAGGAGGAACTAAGCAACTCAGTGAAACCCTGTCTATAAATAAAATGCAAAATAGGCTCAGTGGATGAGTTCAACCCCTGGTACCAAAAAACAAACAAACAAACAAACAAACAAAAAACCCAAATCTAAAACAACAACAAATTAAAATGTTGACTATTACTTTTTTTGTTTTTGCACTGGGGATTAAACCAGGGGCACATCCCAGCCCCCCACTCCTTTTATTTATTTATTTATTTTTGGAGACAGGGTCTCACTAAGTTGCTGAGACTGGCTTTGAATTTGTGGTCCTCCTACCTCAGCCTCCTGAGTCACTGGGATAACAGGCATGCTCCACCATGCTTGGCTATTACATTAAAAAAAAATAATAAATAGTTTTGGATGAAACCCTAGACTTACCCTTGTATTGTAGTTCATTCTATGATGATGATAATAGGAACTGGCTTTAGCCAGGTCAAATACTGATTTTAAATACTTAGTTTTTTGGCAAAAATGTGCATTTGATTCAATGTGATTGCTTTTACTACTTTAAAATTATAAATTTGTACCACTGTAATTGGATCATTGGTCAAAATGTGAAAGACATTTCAGGTGAACTTCATTTTCATTGATAATAGATGTAATTTCTTATTTCAAAGGAATATGCAGCTGGCAGTTCATAACCATATGTATCCAAAAATTAAACCAAACTTGGATTAAGAATACTGGAAAAAAAAGTGTTAGTACTAGACAGAACAGGATTCTTTTCTTGCCATTATCCCCTAAGTAATGTAGTATAACAACTATTTACATAGTTTTATATTAGTTATATTGGTTATCACAAACTAGAGATGATTTAAAGTATATTGGAGGATGTGTATAAGCTATATGCAAATACTATGCCATTTCATATAAGGAACTTGAAAACATCTATGGATTAGAGGGAGGTTATCCTGAAACTACAGAGGATACCAAGGGATGACTATATATTATATTAAAATGTGTAGTTCAGTGATATGTGTGTTTATGGAGTTAGTGGTTAAAAAGGCTCACTTTCTTCTAAGAGTATAAATTGGAAGATAGTTAAAGTGGCATCTCAACAAACTAAGGCATATTCTAAATCAATATAATTATACCTTTAATTATGTCTTCTAAAAATTTATTAGAAAAGGAAAAATAATACTCAGGGAAGAGAGAAGAACATTCAGAGTTGGGAACAGAAAGTAGAGATTTCCTTTAGTTCTAAACCATAGGAGCTTTCTTTATATTTCCCAACTCCAGGCATCTCCCCAACTATGTCTTCTCTCCCTTCCCAGGTTTCTGTGCATCCTCTCACATAAAGTTGGCAGGAAGACAAACATCTGAGCCTAAAAGGCAATTATTGGCGTGTTAGATGTGACTTTACCATGGACAGATCTAATTATTCTTCATGGAAATGATATGTTATCTTCCCACACTTGAAGTTTGAAATTATTTTCTATAAAACATCAAACCTATTCAAGCCATAATTCCAAAAATATGTGTGCTTCTTTAGATTTATGATTTGAAATTTAATATTTACAAATAATGCAGACTTTATCCTGAAACTAAGTATCTCCTTAACAATCACTGCAATCCCCAGAATAAGATAAAAAAATCTTCCCTAGAGAAACTGCTTGTAAAATCAAAAAAGTATTAATGATGCAAACATATCAACTATGTAAATAAGAAGAGTTATATCAGGTAATTAAAATAGAAAATTTAAAAACCAATGCTATCAACTATTATATGTCTTTACAGTTGCATGACTCATTACTTTTTAGCTTAGATAGGTTTTTCTTTTTATTTACTTACATTTTTGAGATGGGGTCTCATTAGGTTCTCTAAGGCTGGTTTTGAATTTGTGGGCTTGAGTGATTTTCTTGCTTCAGCCTCCCAAGGAGCTAGGACTACAGGTGTGAACCACCATGCCTGGCTGCTATTTTTTAAAAAATTTATTTTGAGATAATTATAGATTTATATGAAGTTGAAAAAAATAATATTACCTTTACCCAGTTTCCTCCAATGATAAAATTTTGGATAACTATAGTATAACATCACAACTAGGAAACTGATAACGATACCACTTTTATTCAGATTGCATCAGTTTTACATGCATGAATCTCTCTGTGTGTATAATTTTATTGCATGTGTAGATTCGTGTGATCACCACCACAGTCAAGGCACGGACCAGGTTTATCACAAAGATCCTTCCTGCTGCCCTTTCAAAGCCATAACTACTTTCTTTCTGGCCCCCTTCCAACCCCAATGACTACTAATTTGGTTCTTCATTTCTAGCTATCATTTTGAGAATGTTGTATTCATGGAAAAATATACTATTTAACCTTCTGAGATTGGCATTTTTTTATTCAGTATAATTCCCTTGAGACCATTAGAGTTGTATCAATAGTTTGTTCTTTTTGTTCATTAGTATTCCATGTATAGATTACTACAGTTTATTCACCTATTAAACGAATTGTGGATTGGTTCCAGATTAGGGTTGTTTAGAATAAAGCTACCATGAACATTTGTGCTCAGGTTTTTGTGTGAACATTTTCACTTCTGTGGGAAAGAGTGCAATAACTAGGCACATGTTTAGTTACATGAGACACTGCTAAACTTTTCCAGAGTGGCAGTGTCTTTTCTCATTCCTACCTGCAATATATGACTGATCCAGTTTTTTCACATCCTTGTGAACACTTGTTATCACTATTTTTAAAAGTCTTAGCCATTCTGATAATAATAATAATTGTTTTGACATCTCGTTTTGACTGTTATTTGTATTAACCAGTGGTCAATGATGTTGAACATCTTTTCATGAGCTCATTTTCCATCTGCATATCCTGCTCAGTGAAATGTCCATGGCGTTGGGTCTGTTTTCTAGTTGGATTGTTAATTAAAATGTGGAGTTTTAAAGCTCTCTCTCATTATCTAAATACATCATGTTTTGGATACACATCCTTGCAGATACTTTCAGTTTACACTTGTCTTTTCATCCTCTGTTTACAGCATCTTTCACATAGTATACATTTTAAATTTTATGATAAAAATTTCCTTTTATGAATCCTGCTTTTTTTGGTTCATGTTAAAGAACTCTGCTTAGATGTAGGTTACGAAGATGTTTTCCTAAAGGTTTTATGGTGTTATGCTTTGCATTTACATGTTCTGTTTTGAGTTAATTATTATGTATGGTGTAAGGACATGTCAAAGCCGCAGGATATGAGGTGCTCTAATGCCATTTGCTGAAAGGCTACCTGTACTCCATTGAATTGCCTTTGATCTTTTGTCAACATCAAATACGATTTAATACACTTAGGAGGATAGTGTATTTTTACCTATTCCAATGTTCTTTCCTTCACCATACTTACTAACAGTTTGTATGGTCTTAAATCTCTGATTTAATAGCAGAAAGGCCTTATTTCTTCTTTTGGAATGATGCATGACCATTATGATGTCCATGTCCTGATGGGGCTTTGTGTGTCTTTATTCCATCTTTTGCATTGAGGACGAAGCTTACCAAGTTAGAAGGCATGGTCTTTTCAATTATTGATGGGGACAGTTTTCCTCTCATTTCGGTTTGGACAAACATCACTAGTTTGGAATATGCTGGGTTTCTGTAAGCAAAGGAAGAGTTAAGATAAATAATTTATAGATTTATCTATTGAATTTGCCAGTTTATGGAAAGCAGGATTCTTGTCTTATTCACCATGGATTCCTTTCATAGTGCTTATGATAGGTTAGTTACTGAAAGAAGTGGCGGGAGTGGAGGGTGGGGTGGAGGGGGATGATAGAGTGATTTGTAGTCACATTCTTTTTTTTTAAATATTGTTTTAGTTGTAGATGGACACAATACCTTTATTTTATGAGGTGTGAGACTCAAACCCAGTGCCTTACATGTGCAAGGCGTGCACTCTACCACTGAGCCATAACCCCAGCCCCTGTAGTTACATTCTTATAAATAAAAATTTTACTTAAAAATATTAAGTACTTAGAAAATATATTAAAATCTTCAACAGAATATATATTAAAATCTTTAGCTTTAGGCATCTTTTCCTTTTTTTCATTTTATTGACTTTTAAAAATAATATGCATATAATTTAAAAGTTATAGGCATTTGTCAAATGTACATATATAGTTTTTTAAAAACATGAGACATATTTATTTTTCTGCAACTAGTTTTATTTTCTTCTTAATAGAATATAGTGCATTTTCATCTGCATTTTTACTTATAGATCTGTTTAATTTTTTCCTATGGCCATCTATAATATTTTATACTCAGTACTCCTTTTATAGACTATCATTTAGGTTTTTTCTTACTTTTTCTACTATAAATAAAACTGCAACAAAACATCTTTGTGATGTATCCAGTCACACTTTTATTAGTACTTAGAATATCTGGGTTGATCATTTAACATTTGGATGTGCTATTTTCAAATTGCCCTCTAAGAAGACTAGTATTTATAATCGTTTGTTTTGTTTGTGGTGCTGGAAGTTGAACCCAGGGCCTTATACATATCAAGCAAGTGAATGATCACTGAGTTTACACCCCAGCCTTTTTCATTTTTATTTTGAGAGCAGGTCTGCATAAATTGCTCAAGTTGACCTTGAACTTGCAACCTCCCGTTCTCAGGGTCCTGAGGAGCATGGGTTACAGGCATGAGTCACCATGTTAGGCAGAGCACTAGTATTTTATATTCAACCCTGAGATCTTCAAACTGGGGTATGAGAATTTGAACACTTTTTTTTTTTTTTGCACTTGAGATTGAACCGAAGGTCACATCAAATTTAGAATTTTGATTTTTTAGTTTTTAGTTTAAGACAGGGTCTTGCTAAGTTGTTTAGGGCCTCACTAAATTGCTGAGGCTGGACTCAAACTTGTGATCCTCCTGCCTCAGTCTCCTGAGTTGCTGTGATTATAGGCATGTGCCACCACATCCAGCTTGAATACGTTTAAGGGAATAAAATTTCAAATTTTTAACTTAATTTGATCTCAGAATATGTCTTTGATGGAGATGTGGGCTTGTTGTTTCCCATGACCTGTTTAAAATAACTCTTTCCTTGCTTTACAGAACAAAGGCTTGTTTGTCATCCACATTGAAAAGTCCTGGATACTCCCCTAGTACTTTATTGTGGCATGTGCTAATGAAAAATTAATTTATTGGAAGTGAGTTGAGAAAGTGAATGACTAATGATTGGATAATAAATCTTTTTCTAATATCCTCATTAAAAATATTTTTGATAGGTATATGATTCATGATATAGGATCCAGAAGGATTCCAAGGCATAGAATGTCATTTATATTCTTTTCATCTTAACTTATTTATTTATGTAAATAAAGTTTCTCATTTCTAAACCAGGCACAGTGGGGCATGCCTCTGAGACAGAAGAATCACAAGTTGGAGACCAGCCTGGACCTGCAAAGCCCTGTCTCAAAAAAAATTAAAAAAGGACTGGGAAAGTAGCTCTGTGGTAAAGTGCCCCTGGATTCAATCTCCAGTACCAGGGCAAGGGGTAGGCGAAAGGAGTCTCTTAATTTTTTATTTATAAAATAAGAATAGACTTGGTATTGAAAGTTGCCTCACTTATTAGTAATATCCATTTACAGTTAAACAAAATGAGGTAGCAGAAGTCTGTCTTAGTTTGAAACTGAGCTTTACTATTTTCTATGTGTAACCTTGAGAAAGTTAATCTCTGGGTTTCCACTTTATTTTCTATGAACTGGGCATAGGAATATGACCTATTTCTGTGGACACTTTGAGGATAGAAAAGAGTCAATGTGGGGCTGGGTTTGTGGCTCAGAGGTACAGCGTTCACCTAGCATGTGTAAAACAATGGGTTCAATCCTCAGCACCACATAAAAATAAAAGTATTGTGTTCACCTACAACTAAAAGACAAATATAAAAAAAGTGTCAATGTATGCAAATTGTTTATAACAATGCCTGGAAATAGTGCAAAGTTTTTCTAATAAAAAACTGTTTCCATAGAAGTTTACTTTATGCTTAGTAAGTGTATGACAAAAGTTATAATTTAGAATTTTGATTAATGTGTAATAATAACAACTTAAAAAAGAAGGCATTTTTTAAAAAACTTATGTATACTATGTTCACAGAAATAAAAACAAATTAAAAAACTTAAATCCATGTATTTTTGTAGAAAATTATGATAGGGTAATTAAAAAAGAATTCAAAGCCTAAAATCTATTCCATTAGGATGTGATTATGTGAGGGGAAGAATTTAATTTAAATTGAGGTTAAGGAGGACATAAAATTTCTGACTGCTATAGGTTGCATTTGTGATGGATAAGGGAATGGTAGGTTTCAAGTTGTTATGGTATTTAGAATCTATAAGATACATTTTTAAGGGAGTTATACCCTTTTCATAAATTTAGTCCTATGAAGAAATTGAATGTGAACTTTAAAACATGCAAGGGGGAATACAGTTTTATACAATTCTTTTGGGCAATATGAAGGCTGCTGCGCCAACCAATGTGTGAGTGTCCATTTTCTCAAACTCTTCTCTATTCAGAGCTTAGACTATTTTTACAATGCCTGAAATGGCTGGATTGCCAAGTACTTACTAGCAGTTTGTATGGCGCTCAAATCTCTGTCTGAATTTACTATGGATTGATACACATAAGGAAGCATTTCCAGTATTTACTAGCAAGTAAGTTACTGCTGATGATATGTTTTACAAGTGACCTGCATGCTTTGTTCACAAATGTAGGCTGACCAAAATACTGGGCTTCATAGAAAGAGAAAGTAAAAAAAGAATCTTTTAAAAAAATCTTAATTTAAAAAAAAAAAAAATCAGTATCTTTCCCTGAATCTGTGAATGAGACTGTATATATCCTACTCCAGCAGGATGGGAGGCAAAGTTCCCACCCAGAGCTTTGGCCCCATGGTTTCTGCAGTGGAAAGTTAAGAGTGACAAAGTGCAAGAAGGGTGCTTGCCTGTGAAGCACACTTTAGAATGTATAATTTCCCAAATAAAATCCCTGCTGATAACAGATTAACTCACTGATTTAAAGTAATACTTCTTTGTTTTGTTCTCTCCTACTATGGGGAATAAAATCTGGGCCATACATTTAAAACAAATGAGTGGAAAGAGCACACATGATTTTTATTGTCATTTATACCAATGATCTTGTCAATTATTGTTAAAAAATAGTTTTTTAGTTCCCCAATTCAGTACAGGAAACACTGAGGATCATAGGTCTAACAATTCGTTTTATTTTAGCTTTTATTGTATGAATACAAAGTTTTACACCTTTTTTTATGTGGCAATACCTTCTACTTAATAAGAAATCATTAGGCATAAATTAAAGCTTAAGGAATTTGTGAAATGATATATGTTGAAATAGAGTTCATGTTTTATATTATCTCTTTATCCCTAGGCTGGCCACCGGTCAGCAGTAACCTATCTGTGATTTCTCCAGCTTTTCCCTTATCTGAAGGTACCTATTTGGATGTCTCATTGTATAGGTTGTCTGCTGGAGCAAGGCAGTCCATTTGAAAAAATTTCTTTAAGATAAAGCAATCATTGCTGGTAAATTTCAGGGGAATTTATTTCTAATTCACAAGACTCCCTAATAATTTATAGAAGTGAGTAATGGAGAAATGGAGAACATCAGGGAAAGTTTAACCACAGGGGAATGTTTGTATGTATTTGACTAATCCCAGAAACCTCAACTTATATTTTACAGGAAATTGCCCATTCTAATCATACTTCAGATGAAAATAAGGTTTAGAAAAGTTGTTTTAGGCTGTTGGAATTTTTTTCAAATTTGTGTATGTGACTGCAATAGGAGCATAGGACTGTAGAGGAAGCAGATACTTAGAATTCAGATTAATCCTCACTGATGTTAGATCCAGGTTCCCACCCAGAAGTAAGCAATTTCAGAACCATTATAATTGTATTTAAAATTGTAAATTATAGAAAAAAAGTTATTTTAAAAATGGCACTTAGGGATAGTTTTTTTAAACAAATATTTTTTTTAGTTGTAGGTGAACACAATACCTTCATTTTATTATTTTTATGCGGTGCTGAGGATCAAACCCAGTACCTCACACGAGCTAGGTGAGCGCTCTACCACTAAGCTATAACCCCAGCCCCAACAATCCCCCACCCCCAACAGAATATGCTGGCACACGTTTCTACTGATGAACAGGAATACTGAACTAAATCACAAGTTGAACTAAAAAAAAAAACTGCTAAAATACGTAAATGCAAGTAACACTTACTCTTTCAGAGGTGAACATACATAGCCACAAGGATGGTTATAACCTCGGACATAATTTGAAGATGGAGGATATTCTGGGAAATCCACACTTTTAGCTAAGAGATTAAAAAAATATTAAAATGAAACCTAATTCACAAAGATAAAAACTATTGCCAGAAGCATATTTTAGAAATATATAACACTTATTTTAATTTAGTTATCAATTATCAACATTAGCATTAATTTTATAGGTATATACATTTGCAATAGTATTTCTAAACATGCTGTTATCTTTTTGTTTTTAATTTTTTAAATTATAGATGAACAAAATATCTTTATTTTGTTTTTATTTTTATGTGGTGCTAAGGATTGAACCCAGCACCTTACATGTGGGGGGAAAGTGCTCTCCCCACTGAGCCACAACCCCAGATCCCTGCTATTATATTTATTACTTTTAACAGTTTTTCTTGTATAAAAATTACTTCCTGAGATTTGAAGCAAAAGAAGAAATAGCAAAAAGACCATTAATGTCATGGTTTGAATTATTTTTTATTAATTAAAAAAAAATGTTTAAAGTGACTAGTTTAAAAATGCTCTCTTTCGCTAATTCCCTATAGCTAACTGCAAAGTATAAAGATCAGTAGAATTTGTTTTAGTAATTATACAGAAAAGTATCTAAATTGTATGTAAATGCAGACAGAGGTGATTTAATTATGATTTAATTTATGGCTATATATACTCTTTCTAAAATCTTTTTTAAAAAATATGTTTATTTGGGGGCTGGGGTTTTGGGTCAGCGGTAGAGCGCGTGTCTAGCACGTGTGAGGCACTGGGTTCGATCCTCAGCACCACATAAAAATAAATAAAATAAAGGCATTGTGTCCAACTACAACTAAAAAAAATTTTTAAATATATGTTTATTCTACACAACTAAATCCTGTTCTTGTCAGAGGTGGTTAATTTTATTATGTGATTTGAACATAAGCAATCTGTTATATGGGAAATACAATCTGAAACAGGTTTAAAAGCCTATATGGTTGAATGAATTTTCCATTTTTGTATAATTATCTTAACAGAGACTATTACATTGGCCTAATGGTACTTCCAGAAGTAACAGTAAAATATTTTTCTCTATTTAAAATATGAAGATTATACTTGTATTTTGTTTTCAAAGAAATAAGTCTACAAACAGGCATGCATGTGTTTTTTATGAGGTACACAGTATGGTAGTCAGCACTTATTTTGGAAAATCAGACCAGAGGTTTTTATTTCTGGTTCAGCTGCTTATTAGTATGCAACTTAATTTCCTAACTGCTTAACTTCTGTGAACTTCAGTTTTGTCAATAATGAAAATGCATGCAAAATATTTAGCTCAAAGCAAGGTTCAGAGTAAGATAAATAAAACTAAGAAAATAACCCACAAGTATTCATCAAAAATTCATTCAATAGAAACTTCTTATAGCAAATTCAGTAGTGATTTCTGCACTAAATGACTGATTACCTTTAGTTGTTGGTTTTACCCTCTGTGCTTTTAAAAATTTCTATCTGATCACTAACAGATAGAAATGGTCTGATATCTAAATATAGAAAATAACAGATTCAGACAAGACAGCATTTTGTATTGTAGGTAATTGATACATTTTATGTTCTGTCATTTCAAAAATGAGAGAAAAACATGTGAAGATGATGAACATCAGCTCTTAGTGGCCTGCTGCAAAACAGAACAAAATGGATTTGAGTGACAGCAATTAGTTAGACTGGGCAGAGTAACTGAAACTTTGTTGGGAAATGCTAATTAAACGTAATTGTCTCTATCCCCACAGTAGAGGAAACTATTCAGAAAAGAATGGTAAAATTAAATCAATTACAAAGAAAACCAGGGATCTTTGCCACTATTCTCCCAAAGTCTCTCCACCATAAGTTATTAATGTCTACCACAACTTGGTATGTTTTGAGTCAATAATGCAAGCAAGGAAATGGTTACACATTCACATTTTACAGAATGACATATTTGCAAAGGAGATGCTAAGCATATATCAAGGTCTTCAGTTTTTAAAAGAAATTAAAGCACATTTATGTAATGACCCATCTAGTGGAAATTTCTTCAACAGTTACTTCAATCATTTACTATATATGGCCATTCTAAGAAATTGAAGTATAAAATTATATATCCAAAAATTTAATTTTGCTTCTGTGATTTAAAAAATGTATATCTTGAAGTTTTAGTCTATAGGCACCTCTATCTATTAAGTCCTACAGAGTTTATGCTGTAAAAGTCCAGGAGATGACATTATCATTGACTATTATATACATGACACCTCCTAAGCTGGGTGAAATATATATTTATCTACTTGATGCATGTATGTATTTGTCCTACTGAGTAAATAAAAAATTAAAGGAAATAGCTGAAAATAAGAGTTTCTTCCTAACTGCAAATTAAAGGGAAAAGTTTTATTAATGACTCATTGTAATTCCAAGATGTGAGCAAAACATTTCAACTTACAACTGATAATGTTCATGTTCCCTTCACAGCGCTTGATGTATACTAAGTCGATAAAGTCTCGGGGGGAAATGGAGCCCATGGCAAAACTTTGTGTTATGGTATGACATATAAATGTGTCCTGCAACAAATCAAATCACAAAGATTGCAAACATTATTTAATATTTACCATTTGTATTGTTCCCCAAGGAACTATATTGCACACGTTGCATCTCTATTTGGAAAAAGCAAGGCTTTGCAGTTTTCAGATCATTATCATCAAATCAGCTTGCATTTTCAGTGTTGAAGGGGCATGAGATCTACAATTATGAGTGTAGAAGATTCAGGGAGTACTTAAGATTGTCTACTCTTTTAATTTTTAGATGTAGAAATCTGGATTACTATGAGGTGTAACTAGCGGTTCTTACCAATTTTATTCTTGCCCTTTATAACCCATTCTCCTATTCATTGCCAGAACTATTAATCGTCATACTATTCTTGTCAAGTCCTAGCCATCATAATGCTTAATATCATCTGATATTATCTTTTTAATTGCTTACTTGCTTATTATGTCTCTTCTGAGGGAATGTAAGCTCTGTGAAAGAATGGACACTTTCTGTCTTGTATTCCCAATGCCTGAATAGTGGGTGCTCCAGTGTATTTGTGGAATGAATTCATTTGTTAAAAAAACATAAACATCTGTCTGGGGAGGAAGGGACTGGAATAAATCAGGATCCTTTTACAAAACATATTCTTTTTTCATTATTATTACTATTACTATTATTAAATATTATTATTAAATAATAATAATAATAATAATAAAAATAATAAGAATGTTTTCAAGCTTTTTTTTTGGTACCAGGGATTGAACCCAGTGTCACTAAGCCATTGAGTCACATCTTCAGCCCTTTTCTCTTCTATTATTATTATTATTATTATTATTATTATTTTATGGTGCTGGGATTGAACCCAGGGCCTTGTGCATGCAAGGCAAGCACTCTACCAACTGAGTATATCCCAAGCCCCCAAACAGATTCTTAAGAGGGAAAAAACAAACAGTAACATAAATGGAGAATAAATTTTAATATATCACAGTAAGAATTGTTTTTCATTTTGGTGCTTACTTTTATAGCAGTTTTAATGAGTGAGATCTGTCGTGTGCTGCATGAATGTTAAGAGTCCTCTATGTTGCCTGTCTCCCCTTGTTTCAACCTGTTTACCACGTATCATTCTTTCTCTATGTCATCCCCTCCTGATCTTTTTCACTCTATTTTCACTTTCCTGATCTTTTCTTCCATCCCCTTTTAAAATACTCACCTCTCACGTTCACTCTTCCTCCCACCTGTCTTCAACTTTCTACTGTGATCACCTATGTTTTTCTGTTCTTTTTATTATCCCTCTTCATATCTATTTAACTAAGACAATGTATTTGAAAATATTTCTAAACTGCAGCCTTTTATGTAATCATACTTCTTTACTTTATATTTTATCTTTAGTCCTCAGTGCCACATGCTGTTTGTTTGGAAGTCCTAATAGCAGATATCTGCATTGTTTCTGTTTTGTAATGTAATATAACTAAAATATGTCTTGATTTCCATGCAGGAATGCTTAATTTTTGTTTTCTATGTCATGGAGGTAAATCCCCGAGAGTTCAGATCCCTAATAACAAAAGGTACAAGAGACTTTGCCAGATTCAAAATGTGATATGTATTTACAAACAGAATGATGTTAATTGTAATTAAACTCTTGATTAATAAGGAGAAAAGTTTTAAGAATTTTATAAAAACTTTCACTCATCTGAATCTATAAATACTAAGTGTCTACATACATTGTTTCAATAAACAAATCATTAAGATATAAAACTAAAGATGCATTGACACAGAAAAGTCTAGTATTAAAAAAATAAATTACCGAATCAATCCTGTGTATCATATTGTATACTTTCAATGCTTTATCCCATGCAACCCTGTTTCCAGGTTGGTAGAGGAAATCAGATAGTTTAAATGTTGATTCTGGAATTATCCCTTCAACACGATATCTATAGTTAACAAAATAAAGAAAATTTAATACTTAAGTTTAAGCTGAAAATAAGCTGCTATCAAATTTGAAGACAGGCAAATTTAACGAATAAAAACCCTGAAGGTAATACACGTTGAGTATTACCTTATCTGAAATACTTGCAACTAAGATTTTGGATTTTTTTAAGATTTTGGAGTACCTGCATATACATAATAAGATATCTTGGGAGAAACCTAGTTGAAACACAGAATTCATTTACATTTCATATATACCTTATACACATAGCCCTGAAGGTGATTTGTCTGTGTGTGTATGTTACTGGGGATTAAACCTAAGGCGTCACACTTGCTAGTAAGTGCCCCACCACAAAGCTGCATCCCCCGCCCATTTTATTTTATTTTGCCATAAGGCCTCACTAAGTTGCCTAGGCTGGCTTTGAACTTGGAGCCTCCTGTCTCAGTCTTCCAAGTCACTAGGATCACAGGTGCTGAATATAATGTAACACAATATTTTAAATAATTTTGTGAATGAACAAAGCTTCATGGTATGAAGTTACCCACTCATGGTATCATGTTTTGTGCTTATGAAGTTTTACATTTGGAATATCTCAGGTTTCAGCCTTGAATTACAGATTTTCAACTTGTGTCAGCAATTTAGTACACTAATATCCAACTGGAAGTAGCAATGCTTATTTAAACGTGTACTGCAATAATTGAATTTCCAAGTTAATTTTTGTACTAATTTTGTTTGCAATATTTTAATGATCATCTTTTTTAAAGGGTTGTTTTTATTTATAGTTTTCTGAAGTCTTTCCACTAACATTTACCTGCTGTTTTTATCATAAGCCAATGATCATTGATGAGAAATTTGTGTGGTTTGTACCTCATGGCTCTGATTTTTATTTATTTATTAATTTTGGTACTGGGGATTGAACCCAGGGGCCCACTGAATCACTGAGCCACACATCCCCAGCCCTTTTTTAATATTTTGTTTAGAGACAGGGCCTTGGTGAGTTGCTGAAGCTGGCTTTGAACTCAGGATCCTCCTGCTTCTGCGTCACAAGCCACTGGGATCACAGGCAGGCGCCATTGCATCTGGAGCCCTGACATTTAAGAACATAATATGGTCTAGAGCAGGGTCAGTAGGCTCTTCAGTAGAAGTCTGGATGATAAATAATGAGCTTTGCAGGTCACATTCAACTCTGCTAGTGTAGAGGTAAAGCATCCATAGATAACATAATGAATGGATATGGCTGTGCTCTAATTAAGCTTCATAGATTTTGAGTTTTGAATTTCATTAATTTTCACATGTAAGGAAACATTCTTGTTTTGATTTTGTTTCATCCATGTGAAAAATATAAAAGTCATTCTTAGTTTTAAGGCTGTGCAGAAATAGGCAGCAGTCCAGATGTATTCTACTTGCAGTTGTTTGTCAACCACTGGCCTAAAGGAACTAATACTGTTCCAAGAGTAAATTCCAGCTTACCATCAACAACATGGGAAAATAAACCTTCGTGTATGTTTGGCTGTATACCAATGAAATTAAGACAGTGTGAGAAAACTGAATTCAAGCTCAATATTAACATAAGATTGACAGATGAAAATAAAGTCAGAACAGTGTGGGTCACTCTTTTTCCCTTTGTCTTTCTTTTCAAAGCAAGGGAATAAGTTTAAGAAAAATCAAACTTCTAAACTTTTGAAATTTAAATTTCTTCAGGAAGTGAGGTAAAAAATAATACTATTAGTATAGAAAATAGTTGTTATATTTGTAAAACATTATTACTCTGAGCCTTTGCTTTTATACTTTGGTAAGCAAGGAATTCATTAGACTACTTCTCTGTATGTGAATTTTTCTCTAAAATTTTAGTTGAAGCCAGGCTTGGTGGCATAGGCCTGAAATCCCAGAGAATTAGATGCTGAGGCAGAAGGATTGCAAGTTTAAGACCATTGGGAAATTTAGTGAGACTCTGTCTTAAAAGAAAAGAAAAAAGCCAGGCATGGTAGCATATGCCTGTAATCCCAGTGACTAGGGAGGGTAAGGCAGGAAGACCACAAGTTCAAAACCAACCTCAGCAATTTGGCACGAGTGTAAGCAATTTAATAAGACCATGTCTTCAAATAAAAATTAAAAAAGTGCTGGGGATGGGACAACACAGTGGTTAAGTGCCCCTGGGTTTAATCCCTAGTACCAAAAAATAAAAAAATAAATAAAAAGGCTGGGGGATGAAGTTCACAGGTAGAGTTCCCCTAGGTTCAATCCCCATAAAATAAATAAAATTTTAATTTAAAATTGTTGGTTTCTAATTTTTTCTGTGAGCTATTCTCAAATTCCTTCATGTAAATGTTCCTTCCTTCAGATCAACAAAGTTTTTTTATTTTTGAAAAAATATGAATTAATGTTAAGTAGGTGACTTACTTTAAGACTTCTTTAAATCTTAAGAGTGAATCTCCAAGAAGAGACTGTATGGAGTGTTTTGAAAATTTATTTGACCCTGCAAATCATTTTTCCCCTGTAGTGCATTTTGACAGTTTACATTTCTCCCAGACTCTAGTTTGGCAAACCATATTGGACAATAGTATATATCTCATAGGTATATAATGTTTATGTCTGGTTACTCATTCTAAATTCAAATGTACATGTTTCTTACTTTGATTATTTGCAGTTCTTTTAAACTGTGAAGATGTGAAGCAATGGAAAAATGTAAGCTCCCCTTGATTGGTGGTAGTCTCACTTTCTTGCTCTCCTCTGGGTAATGTAAACTTTCAAATGAGGCATACCAACCTGGCCAACATGCCCAACTTGATTTTCTTTGTTAGCACCTAAATATATGCCATAACTAATAAAAATATAAATATATCTATCTATCTATCTATCTATCTATATATATATATATATCAACAAGTATAAACTGCACCAATCATACTCTTTCTGGACATAACCATAGAAAATTTAGAAGAATCAGTGGGCTGTGATTGAAAAACATGCATGCAAAATTAAGTTTCATGTACTTTTTATTAATTTTAGTTTTGAAATATAATTAAAGGAGGGTTTGACAAATCCACTGTGCAGTAAGCAGTCTCTAAAACCTCCCCAATAAACCCCACCTCCTGATATTGACACCCTGAGTAATCCCCTCCATTTTGAGTCAGGACTGTATGTGGTAATTCACTTAATATTGCAAATGTGATGGGATGTAACTTCTAAGATTAGGTTGTGGATTAGGTTGGCTTTTATCTTGTTTGCTCTATTTCTTGCTCTCTCCTAGATCCCTCACTCTGAGGTAAGTAACCTGTCATGTATTTTTTTTTTTTAAGTTGTTGATGGATATTTATTTATTTATATGTGGTGCTGAGAATCAAACCCAGTGTCTCACACATGCTAGGCATGTGCTGTATCACTGAGCCACAGCCATAGCCCAACCTGTCATGTCTTAATAGTTCTATGGAGAGGCCCACAGATCAAATAACAAAGAAGGTTCTAGCCAAGAACCATCAAGGAACTGAGGCCCTCAGTCTAACAAGCCCACAAGGAACTGAATTTGTGATACTATGTGAATGAGCTTGAAAATAGACCTTCCCTTAACTGAACCTTCAAGTGAGCCCTAGGCCCCAGCTGACATCTTAGGGACACTTTTGAGAAACTGTCTGATATAGAGGAATCAGGCTAAGCTGTGCCTGGAAAAATGTCTAAGATACTAAATTATAGTGTAATTTGTGCATCAATATATAACTGGTACACAATGCACATAAATTCCATTCAAAATGTGAGTACAAAAAGTTCTAATTGTTTAGTTTTGCAACAGTAAAATATCTCTGATAAAAAATTTCAATAAACTTTGAAACAGAGAGTTTGAAACAGCCTAAGGGAGGCTATTTGACAGGATCTTTGCATTATATATAGTACCTTGCTTAAATAAATACTCCAGACATATTTGTAGACGAAATGAACAACTTTCAAGGTTTCTGCCTACATTGGTTTTGTCTGAAAGGTAATAAAAAGTCACATGATCCAAAAATTTATTTCCTTGGAGGGCCTAGACTTGACTGTACTCATTCTTTGCATCATTGTTTCTATAAGTGCCACTTTAGTCACTAATTATTTAGATAAAAGGAAAGCAGTATTTTTCTCATAACTGTTAAAAATGAATGGGAAAAATCATACCAGCTTTGTCCAATAGTAGAAAATTAGATGTACAAGATACATTTTAGTAAGCAGTTCAAAGGAGTGGATTCTAAATGAAAAGGAATTGAATAAAATTTGGTCTTCTCAACAATACATGATGATCTGAAGAAACTGATGTGATATCATAAGCAATAAGTGAATAACTCTAAAGAAGTTAGAAAACGTCAGCACAATTTCCCTTAATGTGCTTGCATATGAAGAAGTAGGATCCTCAAATATTTCCTTAAAAGCAACCTCTAGAAAAAATTGCATGTATCGGCAAGAGAAATAAAATGAGGAAGAAAACTACTTTTTATGGTTCATTTAAAAGGAAAGATGAAGAGTTTAGAAGACCATAAAATACTACTGCTAGCTAAAAAATACCAATGTGCTTTTATAAGTAATTATTTCTTGAAGTGCAAATTTCCTATATTCATGAATTATTCACTAGAAGGGATTTTTTTTTTTTTTTTTGGTGGTACTAGGAATTGAACATAGGGCCTTGTACATGCCAGGCAAGTGCTTGACCGCTGAGCTACACACCCAGTTCAAAAGGATTTATTTATGTTTTTGTGTGATTATCTTCAGGTGTAAAGATAAAGGATGAGATGGTATGTAATTGGTTTATTATATTAATACTACATTTCAGCCTATTGACTAAATAATGTTTCTTGATTATTATCATATAATGTTGTAGTTAATGAAGCAGAATTAAGTTCCAGATAAAATAATGCCATTGAATTTAAAAAAATGAATGCAAATAGGAACATGTACTCACAGATTTCCAAGGAATTTTCTAGATGCCTTACTGGAAACAGTTATCTTTTTCTCAAAGGGGAATAAAAATCCAGAAATAAACTGTCAATTATAGAAAAAATACATTTTTCTGCTTCATAAAAGAAAAATATTAAAAAAAATGTTTTTATAGTAAATTCTAAAAAAAAAAAATTCTTGAAATATATTTAACTTTTCTTACTGAAATTTTAACCACTTTCCAGCCGGATGTATCTTGATTGTAACTTAAAACTTCTTGAGCAGTTTGTTGGGCAATTGCCTTATAGTCCATCTGTCTGTAAAGTTTTAGAAACAAATGATTGGTAAGAACATAATCATATGAAAACTTTGTTTTCTCTTGTTAAGACAGGATTCCACCAAGTTGCTCAGGTTGGTCTTCAACTCATGGGTTCAAGAGATCCTCCTTCCTCACCTCCCAAGACTACAGGCGTGTATACCTAGCTCACATACAAACTTTTAAAATGCTACATTCTGGGGCTGGGGTTGTGGCTCAGAGGTAGAGCGCTCGCCTAGCATGCGTGAGGCACTAGGTTCAATCCTCAGCACCACATAAAAATAAATAAAGATATGTGTCCGCCTCTGCCTAAATAAAAAAACAATTTTAAAAATGCTGCATTCCATTTTAATATAATTTCTATAATACCTGTCATCTAGCAATGCAACATAATTACTTGTTGATTGCATGCATGGGTGAATCCCTTTCTCTTTTATAATCTTTCAAATGAGAAACTGTGGTAATAGTAGGAAAAGCCAAACTTTTGCAAACACACAAACCTGAATTAAATCTTGTTTCTGCCACTTATTTTGTAAAGCATATTACTTAATATTTGTTTTTTAAATTTTCCTCTTGGTGTAAAATTGAGATAATACCTATTCTGTAGAATTGGCATAAGGATTAGATGAGATACTGCATTTAAATATTGTATTTCAGTGTCTGTTATATAAGAGTCATTCAATAAATCATTATTATTTCTAACACTGTTGTTCATGTGCTCTTGGGAATTGACTTTTTAAAAATGAGTGGCAGTGACACTACATGATCTGATCCTTTGTTTCCTGTTCACTTAGCTACAAACATACTGACCTCCTGGCTGTTCCTTAAATATAACCAAGCAACTTCGTACCTCAGGGTCTTTGTACTTGCTATTCCCTCTGCTTGGAAAACTCTTCTCCAATGTGTTTACATGACTGATGTGGTTTGATTGGTGTCTTTCTTTAAATGCCACTTCCTCAGAAACGATCAGATTTAAATCTATTCAATTTAAACACATTTACTGAACTGCTACTTGAACTTAGGTACTGCAATGGACTGAATGCTTTTGTCTCCCTAGAAATTCACATGTCAAAATCCCAACCTCCAATATGATGTTATTAGGAGATGGGACCTTTGGAAGGTAATTATTAGTCATGAGGACAGAGACCTCATGAATGAGACTATAGTGTCCAAATAAGAAATCGCAGAGTTCATTTGCCTTTTCTGCCATGTGAGGACAAAGCAAGAAAGTGACAGCCGAAAGGTGGCAATATGCAACACGGAAGAGGGCTTTCACAAGAAGCCAATATGATGGCAGCCTGATCTCAGGCTTCCAGCCTCCAAAATTGTGAGGAACAAATTCATTTACTGTTTATGAGCCACCCAGTTTATAGTAATCTTGAAGCAACTTAAAGGAACAGCGGTAGGAATAGCAAAGAAGTTGAGTAACATAATGTTGTTCCTGTGAATTGAGTTCAGAAAGCTGTAGACTCACTGGCCCTTCTGCCCATCAAACCAGTTTTCAATTAGGGAAAGCTGACAGGTATGGTGCAAAGAATCAAAAACAGCTGGACTCAAATGCTAACCTTGCCACTTATCAGCAGCTGTATTTTTGAATAAGTTGCTTAATTTTAACTTAAATTTCCACATTTATAAGTTGGGATAATAATACTTATCCCATGGAGTCTACAAGGATTAAGTGCATTAACGTACGTAGAAGTGCCTGAAACAATGAGGGCCTTGTGATAATTGACCAAAAAGGTTAGTGTCTTTTCTTAAAATGGACACACTTAACATCATCATTAATTTTTTTTTCAAAACGCTGCCTCCTTGAGCACATTAATAAACCATCTTAAGATTTTAATTATCATGTTAAACCTCTTCAAAAACTCCTTGTTGGATCATAAATTTATTTCTTGTTTAGTTCTCCAGCAAGGCACAACAGGTAGATACCTTTTTTTTTTTTAATATTAGAAAAGCTTTACTAAACCATTATAACCTCCTCTTTACTTCTAGTAGATCCTTGTTTCTTTACCTTTCCTAACAAATCTAGTCCAGAATTTTAGCAGTCATTGAGACTCTTCTCCAAATCCTCATAGAAACCTCCATATCTGTTAACCTGGAAGGAAACAAAGTGAAAGAGAATTACTTTGATCCATGAATTAGGTCAATATATTTGATAATTTCCTTCAAATATTCTCAGTGTCCTTCATTTATACTTTGTGTGTTTGTTAGGAAATTTTGCTCTATATGACCCAAGATAGAAGAAAAAGTTAGTACAAGACACTTTAAAGATACTGTTTATGAAGAGCCTTTAGAAACTAAAAAAAAAAAAAGATTATAAAATATTTAGTAGAATGTAGATTTTTTTCTGAATAGATTTTAATTAAAATTATGAAAGTAACTGTGGCATAAACTTTTTTTCTCCCCTAACTCATCACCAATGAAATCTCCTCTTTAAGCCCAGTTTGGTCATTTGTCCTAATTTTAAACAAGTCCTAATTTTTTAAGCTCATGCCATTAATTGTCCTTGGCTGATCCCTGACCTGGGCTTTTCCTAACATATAATCATTTTCTAACAGCGACTTACTTGACATTGATTGATCTAAAAATTTCAGATTATCACTAGCTATAAACTCCTGCAGAGACTGTCTTATTGTTTTCTTATCAATAACTCTGATCAGTAACAATTTAATTTCAATTAAATTCAGTTTAGTTGAACCACTAAACTGAATTTTATAGCTTCTGGACTTTTATTTGCTAAAAGAAATGGGAAGGCAAAGTTTAGCAGGTGAGAGAGGCTAAGGCCTCCGGATGCCTCAGCCTGGGGAAAGTAGAAACAGCCAACTAGACTTCAGTGGTGTTACCTGGTGACATACTGGATGAGCTGGAAAGCGTTCAGATGGAGTATTAGACAAGGACGTCTTCACCCATAGGGTCAGTGGAAAATAAACATAAACCAATATTGAGATGGCATCTTTTTCTGACACACCAGTTGGATGAACTGGATTCTTGGCGCCTCACATCCTGTCCCAGCCGTGGAGGTAGGTTCACACATGCTGGTTTTGGGTCTTTACATCTGTTTGTATGAACGCCCTGTTTCTGGGCTGCCTGACTGGGCCCCCAATCCGTGGTGGTCACTGCCATTCTTCCCTGGGAATCAAGGTCCCCAAGGGGTTTGTTAAATCCCATCCCAGGCCCAGCTGCCTTCTGCAATCCTGCATCTGCTCTGGGTACCAGGAGCTGGCTGCGAGCCCAGGAGGGCCGGCTCCGCGTGGGACCGGCGACTAAGGAGCGCGGGAAACAGGTGGCGGGGAAGCTGCCTGCTCGGGACGCCTCAGCCTGGGAGGACCTTCTCGGGAAGCCGGAGGCCGAGCTCACGTGCAAAGACCAGGACGAGGGGCCTGCCTCTCAGCGACAGGAACCCAGGCTGCTGTCGCCCCCCAGTCCCCTCCCCACCGTTCGCCTCCTACAGCCCCGCGCTAGGGTCGGCCTGTGGGCTGCGCAGAGTGGCTGAAAAACGGCGGCGACTGAGGCGAGGACGGAGGCGGGGGCGTGGGGCGCTGCGACGTGGACCGAGTCCAGAACCGCCCCCTCCCAACCCAGAGAGCAGACCCGGCAGAACTCCACGTTCCGCGACCTAACGCCCCAGCACCCCCGCCCGGGGCCCCCGCCCGCGCCCGAGCGCCGCGCACGCGCACCGCAGGCCCGCGCCATGTTGGGTCGGTTTGAAGGCGAGCGCGGGCGTGGCTGGCGCTGTGACGGCGGCGGAGGCTGCGGGCTGGGGCGCCTGAGGTGATGCTTTGTCGCGTCCCCTGCATTCCGTAGCAGGTCTGGGCTTTCCGCGGAGACTGGTGGAAACGTGCGTTTTTTGAACCTCATTTGGGTCCTTCGTGGGTGAGTTAGGCGGGAAAGAAGGGCGTCTTTTCGAGCGGCGCCCCATCCTCAGACCGCCCGAGGGAAAGGCTAACGGACGGGCGCCCGCAGGGACGGGGTAGAGGCCTCGGGAGGGGGGGCGCGCGTGGGGACGTGGAGGAACGCTAGCGGGCGGGGCCGGCGGGAGAGGGGCCCGGGCTTGCGCTTTCTGGGTGGTCGCCCCGGAATGCCCGCCGCGGCGCCCTGCATTAAAGGTTTCGGAGTGAAAAGCCACTGAAGCCGGGGGCCGGGGTGTTGGAGAAATCGGGCGGAAAGTTGAGACCCGTCGCGCTCCGAATGCGCGGATGCCGGCCCCGGAGGTGGCGCCGGCTGCCGGGGCTTTGCACGGGTCTTCCTGCTGCAGAGTAGAGCAGCGTTCGCCTCCGTAGCTTAGGAACTGGGAGCCGCTTCTTGGCTTCTTAACACGGAACATTCTCTGTTTTGCATCAGGTTTTTTTTTTTGCTCTTAAGCTCTTAAATTTTGACGTTCCCTTGAGCATGATGGATTTGCTTTGGGATATTCGAACTGAAGTGATTATGGAGGAAATGGTAAGACGCTCGGGCTTTGCTTAAAGTGCGTGAGATTCGAAATGATCCCGCGGTTGACGTGGGGAGAAGGGGGTGGGGATCTGGATAGTTGAGGTTTGTTGCTCATTGGTGGAAGCAGCGTGGCGGTTGCAGAGGAATTTATTCAAAGACCCTACCTACTTTTGCATAGGTCTGAAAACTTTCCATAAAATAGAAATTAAATTGTGGATTCTCTTGTCGTCACGCTTGTGAATTAAAATGACATGGTGAATGTCATCACCCACTTATGAAGAACCATAACCCAATTAGTTAAGGTTTTGTAAAATAAAATCGTAACCTGTTATATGTTCAGATAAGGCAGGGGGACGTCAGTTAAACTTAGGGAAGTAAATTTTCTTGTGCATTTAAGCCATTCTGTGGAGATCTCCCTATATCATGACATTTCAAGGATATGGAAGAGGCTAAATAGTCGTTTTCTTATGTTCTGTTGTCCGAACACTGTCAGAATTCTGGAAAGGCATGCTCTGAGGCTGTGGACAGGAGGTGTTATTACCATCTCTTTGATTAAAACTTTCTATAATTTAAAGGCAAATTTGACAGTTGCTAAGGTTACATTAAAATGCTATTGTGACTTAAATATTTCCAAAATTATAGCCAAAAAACAAACATACTGACTATAACATCATAGCATGTTAAGTGTTAGACATTAATTCTTCTTTTTTATTATAGAAAATTCTTTACTTCTCAACAAATGTCATATCATGTTCTGAGTTTTAGTGCCTGTTCATTCTGTTTTTTTCTTGGGTTTTTAAATATAGTTCCTATTATTCCTGTAATAAGTTGTTTTAGTAATAAAAAACCCCATCAAGATGAATACATTAAGTTAATTTCACATGATCTAAACTTATTTTGAAAGATGAGCTGAATCTGGTCAACATAAAAATTGAAAATAGGATGGTATTAAAAAAATGTTATTTTAGCTGGGCATGGTGGTGCACACCTCTAATCCCAGCTACTGTGGAAGCTGAGGTAAGACAGTATTGCAAGCTTGAAGGCATTCTGGGTAAATTAGGGAGACCCCCTCTCTCCAAAAAAAAAAAAAAAAAAAAAGGCTGAATGGTGTGGCTCAATGGTAGTGTGCTTGTCTAGTGTGCAAGTGTGCATGAGTTTGATCCCCAGTTCTGTCAAAAAAAGGTTATTTTAGGAAAAGTTCAGATTGTTAGCTCATTCTGAAGTAAGACTTATAGTTTATTTATATTTTGTGTTCGTTAGTCTTTTTTTGGGAGAATGACTGAAGTTTCATCTTGGCATTTACAATTTTGAAAGTGGATGTTTTTCTTTTTGCTTCCAATGGTTAATGACTTTAAAAATGTATTGGAAGTTGGTAGGTACAGTTGTAGTCTCCTCTATTCAGAAGACTGAGACAGGAAGACCTCTTGGGCTCAAGAATTCAAGGCCAGCCTGGGCAACAAATTTCTTTTTTCCTTTTCATTGAGTACCTACTATTTGCAGTGAATGGTTGTAAGCTTATGATTTATTGTATATAAGGGAATGTTAGGTTTGTGATGTCATAGAATATGTCACCATTAGTAAACAGACTTTCATCAGTGGTTTTTAGGACTTTAAATGTGAGTATTCTTTCATTGATACTTCTCATGTATATTCTCAGACAACTTTTGTATACATACTTCCAGGCACATAGTAGCTGCTTAATAAATGTTTTCTACATCATTGATGAAAGAATTTGTAAAATACTAGGAAACCTACAATGCCTGAAAAGGAGTTTCTATTATAAATAACTGATTTTATTTCTTAAAGAAAAATTTTAAGTTAGTGTATTTAGTAATTTTCTCTGTATATCATCATTATTCCTTTTAATTGGTGCCTTAACTATTTGTTTTCATGTTACAGTTGTCTTTAAGGAAAATGGATAAAAGTAACCCATGTTGAGGAAGCCATGGCAAAATCAAACACAAAGCACAGAGTTTGTTCTCAGGAATCTTCAGTCTCTTCCCTTCTGGCAAGCTGCAATCTGAATGGTGGTAATTCTTCCAACTCTAATGGCCCTTTTCACTATAAGGATAAACTGTACAGTTCTGCTTCTCAGGCTCTGCAGGCCTACATTGATGATTTTTATTTAAGCCAAATATACTCTGATACAAGCACTGGAAAAATTAGCAGTGATAAGAGATCTGCGAATGTGCCTCAATTCTCCAAATATATTTATAAACCAAACAATGGTATGCTTTTATTTGTTTTCTTTGTCTAATAATTTGAAGCATTTCAGAGATCGACTGTAGTCTTATAAAGTTAAACTTTTTTTTTGTTATGTCAGAATAAAAATAACCTATAGTAAAAAAAAATCTGAATATTTTTGTGAAATGCTTACATAATTCTCTGGTTCTCAGAAATTTTCAGCTTAAAAATTCCTCTTTGACCTTGCAAGGGAAGTTGATGAGTCTAAGAGCAGGTAGCTCCTAACTTAAGTCATTTTACTATCTTGTAATGGATAGAGTACTAATGTGCTTTTTGGCTTTCATTAACTAGCTTAATGACCTTAAAGTGCACCCTTTCTAAGTTTATACTTGCTCAATTTCAATTGATAAGATAGATCTGTATTAGTCTTTCTGATCTATATCTTATGGAACAATAATGTTCAAAAGATAAAGAGTTTTCTTGATAAAACTTCCACGAAGACAAGTTCATATAATGCAGTTGCTGATAAACCAGTTAGCATTTTATTGAGCACTTACAGAAATAGGCCTAGAATAGAAAAAGTTTGCATTAAATTCTTAGTTATGAACAATATTTTTCAGAAGAATAGAGTTAGAACACCTGTCTTCTGTGTTGTAACCATGCCTTTGCAGGGTAAGAGAGAACAAAAATTAATTTTTCCACCTAGTTGAACCGCATATTTTTCTAAGTTACAGCCAATATTGAATGAACCATGTTGATTTGATTGTATTAATTCATTGGGTATGTCTAGATGAAGAAAATTGAAGAAATCCTAAAGTAAAAAACATGGGGAAATTTAGGTGATTGGAGAGAAATGTATAGAAATTAAACATTAAAGAGATGTGAGAAAGCAAGCATGTTCTGTTTTCTTAACCTGTATCTTTTATACATTCAATTAAAACTTTAGTGAGGATAATGAGGTGACAAAAACAATTCTCAGTTCCTTAATTCTTGTTTACTGTTGAATGTTACTAAGTATAGATGATAAAGGAAGATAAATTGAACTATGTTTTATTTTTCAGCTTTTGAAAATCTTGATCACAAAAAGCACTCAAACTCCTTATCATATAGAAGAGAGATTGTTAATGACATAGATTCCATTAGCCTAACAACTGATGATCTGTTAAGACTTCCAGCAGATGGATTATTTTCTTTCACTGATGTTGGACCAGTAAAACTATGCAAGAAAAACAAGAAATGCACTGGAAGACTGGGTTCCTCGGCCATTAAAAAGCATCTGAATTTTCAAGATTCCTGCACTTCCATGGGCAAGGATAACTTAGTTACACGTGTTGTAGACACAAATATAAATGGAAAGCAATGTAGTAAACTAAAAAGCCCAAAACTTATGAATAGGACCAATAAATGTATTTTTGAATCATCTTTATCTTTTCCCAAGAAATCATCATTGAAAGAGAGTTCACAACACAGTCTTGAAAAGAATTATCCAAGATGGCTCACTAGCCAGAAATCTGACCTCAATATTTCAGGGATAAGTAGTTTACCTGATTTCAAATACCCAGTCTGGCTCCACAATCAAGACTTGCTACCTGATGCAAGTAGTCAAAAGGTTTATAAAGTATTTAAAGAAGACCATTCTTCCCCTAGACATAGTTATCAGGCACAAAGAACTTCTTGGCTTACAAATAAGTTAGATTGTTGTGAATATTCTTTTGAGCCCTCAAATTTTTCAAATTACTTGAGTGATGATAAAGGATTAGTTAATGAATACAGATGTGATTCTGAACATAGCCAATGTCAGTATGAGAATCCACTTCTCTCAGGACAATCCAAAAAGCCATTCAGTGGTAATATTTTGTTTTTAGTTTTTTGTTTTTGATTTTTTAAACAAAAGGAAGTACTGAAAATTTGGACTAATATCTAGGATCTTTTATGTTTTATTTTTGCTGTAATGATATATGTCTTTAGAATGCTTTTAACCTTAATTTAATGTAGATTCTTTAGGTTTATTTTTTTTCTCCCCTTTTTTCTTTGCTTGAAGTGTTAACATTTGGTATAATTTGCTGTTAATGTCTTAATTATCTTAAATCTTGTTGCCTTTGTGAGATTTTGTAGTGCTTTCCATTTGTTTTTGAAGAATTAATATAATATTTTTAAATTAGGTGACAAACTTGAACTGCTTATCCTGAAGGCCAAGAAAAATCTGGATCAGTGTACTGAAGAATTACCAAAGTCTGTGGAAAAGGATGACAGTCCTTGTTCATTAGATAAACTTGAAGCTGAAAGATCATGGGAAAATATTCCTGTTACTTTGTAAGTGACAATGGAAAAGCTGTTCAGTTTCCCAAATGAAAAATGCTGTGTGAACATCAGATTTATTTTTTAAATAACTTAATGGTAATTAATAATAACTTTGTAATTCTGTAGAATGCATCCTTCAGTGTTGGTTACTTTAAATTGCAGTGTTCATTGTTACCACAAGATGGTGTAATGTTTCATACCCATAGGTACATTATGTAATTTCTATCTTTGTTACATATTCATTTTGTTTCACTGTTAAATATTGGTATATGTCATTATGAGGGATTAGAACCAAAAACAGTTAATTTGCAAATGGAGAATTGTTAGGCAATTCTTGTTCCTTTTTTCAATTTTAAGCTCCACCCCTCCCCATGTTCACTAAATATATATCCTTATATTTAGTTATTCATTCCTTTTCATTTATATTTTACATTATCTTTTAGTTACCATTTTCCTTAAATGATGAGCATTTTCTTATATGGTCTATCATTTAGGTTTTTGTAATTTCTAAAATTGTTTTCATTTGTTGTTTTTAATTTTTCTATCTTATAGTTTCTCAGAATAATTCTAAAAATGTTTACCTAGCCACCTGAGAGTGTGAATGTGGAGTTAGAATTTGGAAAGTAGGAAAGTTTTTATTGTTAGTGATGTTATTACATTTGGACTTACCAGCAATGCATTATTGGTGACATATCATGCCTTAGGCTCTTATAAATTATTATTGTTGTTGTTGTTATCATTAGTTTCTGTACCAGGAATTGAACCCAGGGGTTCAATTGAATCACTGAGTTTCATCCCTTGCCCTTTTTGTATTTTATTTAGAGAACAGGGTCTTGATAAGTTGCTTATGATCTCCATAAGTTGCTGAGGCTCTCTTTGAAATGGCAATCTTCCTGCCTCAGCCTCCTGAGCTCCTGGGATTACAGATATCTGCCACTGTTCCCAGCCTCTTCTAAATTATCTTTAGTTGTCTGGGCTTTCATTTTGTTAGAGTTTATTAATTCCTGGGTTTATTTTTGATTACTTCTAAATTAAATACCTAATTTTTGAATGTTGACACTGATTGTAATTCCAATTTGGATTCCCATCTTTGCCCTTTAGAGTTGGAGAAAAAAATAACTGCTCTGAAATTGTTATGAAGAGTCAGTTGGTTAGAGTGTTAAATTACTTTTAGTACAATTTGTGACTAAGGATGAACATTTTTATAAGTCGTAGTAGCGATGATGATCATCCAGAATATTTCATTTTCTTCTTTTAGCTTAATTTCTTGAATTTGGTTTGGCCTACCAATCTGCATACAGAGTAGTTCAGTTTTGAAGGATCAGTTAACATTTTGATGCTTATATTTGTAGATAAAACAAATCTGTTTCAGATTGACAAATTATTATCAACCTGACATTAGGCTGAAACAAAATAGAACGTGAAGCAACTAAAGGTAGAATTCTAAAAGGAAGAATATAATCATAACAGTTAATTGTTTTTTAAACAACTTTTTATTATGAAAAATTTCAAACAAATACAAAGGTAGAGGAATAACATAATTAATTCTGCATTAATAATCACATCATCTTCAGTGATTGGGTGTGAAAATGTCTTTTTACAACAGTTGGTTGATGGATATATAAACTTTATTGGTAAACAATAAGGGAAAAGACTACTTAAAGTGAGAAAAAGCTTATGGTAAATTAGCAATTGAATATGCCAATAAAGAAGTGCTTTTTATAAAGAAATAATATTAGCACGTGACATTTAAATTATATAAAAAGATTCTCAGATCTCTGAGTTCTTGAGAGTTACATTCTTTTTAGTGGTATATGAGTAACAAATGGAATGAATAGAGTGCTGAGAGTGCTCTTTCCTCTATTACTTAATCATTAAGAAAAAATTAGTATTTATAGTAAATGTACCAGCTTCATAGAGAGTTAACACTGTGATTTTTGCATTACCTTTAAGTAGTGACAAATGTGGAAACTGAAGTTCTGACAAATTACCTAAGATCATATTATGAAATGGGATTGGGATTGTGCTCAGGAATTTTAATTTCAAAAGTAATCCTTTTCCCAGTATAATCTATAATCTATCCACATGTAAAAACCAGTTCTGGAGGGGTGGTCTGTCCTATCACCTTGAAGTGGGAGAACATCTAACTGCCATTTCAGTAGAAATTTATGGAGTTGTGGGATTTTTTATTATCATTGGGTAAATAGCTTTAAAAATCTTTTTATTTGTTTGTGGTGCTGTGGATTGAACTCAGGGCCTTGCACATGCTAGACAGTGCTCTACTACTGAGCACACTGACCCCCAGTCCTAACAATGTTTAATTGGAAAAATGGACTGCTCAGTTTTTTTGGCAGGGGTCAGGGTACCAGGGATTGAACTCAGGGGCACTCTTCAGCCACATCCCCAGCCCTATTTTGTATTTTTTATTTAGAGACAGGGTCTCACTGAGTTGTTTAGCACCTTGCAGTTGCTGAGGCTGGCTTTGAATTTATGATCCTCCTATCTCAGCCTCCCGAGCTGCTAGGATTACAGGTGTGCACCATTAGCACCTGGCTGTACTGCTCATTTTAAACAGTGAGTTTTTAATGACTGTTCTGTGGTTAAGGGCTTATTCATTTAGTTGAGGACTTGTATCTTCAGTTTCTTTTTAAAGTTTTTCTTCAAAGCTTGAAAGGTGAATCAGGAGGACGGGGGAGGGGGGATTGGATTGGATTCTAGTATCAATTTAGGGAGAAGATAGAGGAATTACCATCCAACATTGATGTGAGTCATATTCATGATGGTTATTTCTTGGTGACCACTTGCATTTGAAAATCCTTAAAGTAATATATTGTATAATTTTTGGAATTTGGGAACTTAATTGCTGTTTTATATCTTTTCAATCCTGTTTAGCAAATCTCCTGTTCCTGTTAATTCTAATGATAGTCCTCGACAAACTTCAAGTGAAAAGTATGCTAAAGAGGTTCTTGAAGACTTTTTAAACAATGATAATCAGGTGAGTGAAATTAAATCTTAACTTATTAAAAGAAGGGTTATGACTAATATATAGTTATTAATTTCTAAGTTCTTAGGTGTTTTACAACAAGAATAGCCCAGATTCTCAACACACATCCATAAAACCATAACTCCTTTCAGAATTATTGGTAATTTTATTTTAATATTCTAAAGTAGAAGGACCTGGGGTTGAATTCTGCAGATAGGCTAAATTATTATTATAATGTTTGTTTGTTTCTGGAAAACATGTAAATAGACCATTATACAGGAAATTTTATTTTCTCAGGTCAGTAGAATATTGAGGTTTGTGTTTCTAATATACATTTATAAATATTTTAAAATAGAAAATGACAGATCTACATTTTGAAGTAGAAACTAGCTGTTGTGTGAAGCATATCTTGAAACTACCTAGAGAAGGAGCCGGGAACCTAATTGGGAGGCTATTGCAGTCTTTTGGAATTGGAAGAGTAATGACTTTGATTAGAGTTGGCATGTTGGAGGTGGTCACAAATTGTTAGACTTGAGATATATTTTGAAGATAGTCCTGATAGGATGAATACAATATGATTGAGCCAAGCAATATAGGGGATTGGTGGTGGCGTTTATTTAAAGAAGGAGTACTGGTCGAAGAATAAGTTTGGGAGTTTGTTTTTTTTTTCAGATTAAGATAGATGAGTATTAATACTAATCAATGATACCCTAGCCCCCTTGCCCACACATACACAACCTCACTACCAGGATCATTTTTGTTTTTTTGAGGTTTGCTTTGTTTGAAATTTTAAATGTATAGAAAGTTGCAAAAATAATATAAAAATTTCTGTGTTCCCTTCTCCCAGAGTCCCATAATATTAACAACTTATATAACCATAGTACAATAATTAGCAGGTCATTGTCTTAGTTACAGAACTCTTCAGTGTGTAGCTTTCACAAGTTTTACTCAATGACCTATTCCAGGTTCCACTCTGGGATCCAACATTACATTTAGTTGTAGTGTTTCCTCAATTGACTTTATTCTGTTCAGCTCTTTAGTCTTTCCTTGACACACTTGAAAAGTACTCGTCAGTGTTTTTGTAGATAGTTTGTTTGTAGAAGTTTTCTCATGATAAGGATGGGGTTGTGCATTTTTGACAAGAATACCAATGAAGTAATATTGTGCCTTTTCAGTGCATTATTTTAGATGGTTGACAGTATGTATGTCATTGATAATAATATTGACATGTTAACAGTAAAATAATAGTAATATAACAGTATTATATTCTGTTCATATTGATGGTGTTAAACTTGAGTGCTTGATTAAGGTGGTATTTATTAGCTTTAGTAAAGCTACCATTTCCCATTATAATTAGTATGTATCTTAGGGAAGGTACTTGGAGACTGCAAAGTTATATCCACTAATTTTAATATCATTGGTGAATCTTGTCTTCAACATGTATTAATTGAAATTCTTGTGTAATAATAGTTATGCCTTCTCCCCTATTTGTTTATGAAATTATTGACATCAATAGGGACTCAGATTTTTTTTTTAATTCTAGTTTTATAATACAAAATTATTTATATTGTTCAAATTGTTACAGTTTAGGACCATAAGAGTTCCTTGCGCTTAGTTCCTGTGTCCTTTTGACATGCCCCCATTCTTTTTCGAGCTCTTCTCTGAGGAGCTGTGGTTGTTTTTATTAGAAAATGGTATTTAGAAACAAAGAGCTAGGCACTGGATGTGCTTATTGCTGTTGGATTGTTATTCATTCTAGACTCAGCAGGCTGATGGAAGCATGTTTATACCAAACCATATGTTATTACACATCTATGTTTCTATACCTGTATATGTGTATATTGATATATATAAAACCAGGAGTTCATACTGATACTTAAGATTTTCAGTTTAATTCTACAAGGTTTGGTTTAGCTTTTCCTTATTTTTATTTTTTTGGTACCAGGGATTGGACTCAAGGGCACTCAGCTACCGAACCACATCCCCAGCCCTTTTTTAATTTTTTATTTTGAGATAGAGTCTCACTAGGTTACTTACTAAATTGCTGAGGCTAGTTTTGAACCTACAATCCTCTTGCCTACACTTCCTAAGTCACGGGATTATGGGTATACATCACCCATGCTTTCTTCTTTATTTCTAATTATTTTCTTCCCAACTAACTCCCTTTAGTGTGGTTGTATTTATTTATTATACTGTTGGTAATTTACTATTACATTTTGGGCTTCCCTCATGTTCCGTTTAATTTAAATTGTCTGTTTTTTGAATGTTTGAAACATTACTATGGTTCTGAGAGAGATAAACAAAAAGATGTACCCAGAGACATTGATTACTAGAGTCTTGTTTTTGTTTTGTTTTTTTTGTTACTGGGGATTGATTCCAGAGGTGCTTGACCACTGAGCCACATCCTCAGTCCTTTTTTATATTTGATTTAGAGGCAGGGTCTTGCTGAGTTGCTTAAGGCCTCTCTAAGTTGCTAAGGCTGGTTTGTGATCCACCTGCCTCAACCTCTCAGGCCTCTGGAATTACCAGCATTCACCACTGTGCCCCACTTTGTTACCAGTTTTAATGACAAATCTCATATATGTATGTGTGTGTGTGTGTGTGTGTGTGTATACATGTATATATATAGTATATATATCACAATACCAACATTTATTAAGCCCAACTGAATCATTATACTCTGCTTCTTTTTCTTCTTAAAATTTGAAATTTATATATATTTATAGCAAAAAATATATATACATTTGCCAGTTTAACCAAACCTTTTTTTGTGTGCTGGTGCCAGATCCTTGCACATGTTTGGCAAATACTCTGTCCCTGAGCCAAATCCCCACCTGCTTTTTAAATTTCATTTGGAGATAGAATCTTGTTAAATTGCCGGGCCTGGCCTTGAATTTGTGATTCTCCTGCCTCAGCCTTCCTAGTATCAAGGATTATAGGCACAGCTGTACCACTGTGCTAACCTAGTTCAGCCCTTTTTAAGTGTACTACTGAGGCATTTAGTATTTGTACATAGTATAGCCATCACCATCATTCAAGTCCAGAACTTTTTTCATCTTCCCACATGGGAACTCTGTACCCATTAAACACTAACTCTTCATTTTCTCTCCCCCCACCCTCTGGTAAAAGCAACATTCTACTTTCTGTTACTGAATTTATTACTCTCAGAACCACATATATGAAGTGTCATATAATATTTTTCCTATCATGACTGGCTTATTTCATTTGACTTAATGTCTTTAAGATTCATTCATGTTGGAGCATATGACAAAAATTTCCTTTGTTCCTTAGACTGAATAATATTCCTGTGCATGTGCCACATTTATCTATTCATCCACATATGGACACTGGGGTTCTTCAGCTTTTTGCTATTATGGATGCTGCTATGAATATGAGTATGCAGATATCTGCTTAAGTTCTTGCCTTTGCTTCTTTTGGATATATACCTAGAAGGCAAATTGCAGGATCATAGGGTAATTCTGTGTTTAGAATTTTGAGGAATTATTATGCTGTTTTTCATGGTGGATGTACCATTTATATTCCCATACTCTGTTTCTTATATCCTGTTCATCTAACTGTGGGAGGATCTTTAAAATCTTTTTAGTCATTCTGCTTTCCTTGAATGTCTTACATAAGTCAAACACTTCCTATTTAAGTGAAGTTTAAATATTATGTATACTTGCATAGCCAATGCTGAAATATGTTAAATTACAGATATCTTCAGAAATTTATTTGCTACTTTGTGTATAGCCTTTAGGACATAGCAACTCATTTAAAATATGAAAAAATATAGACTGTTAAGGCTTTTTAAAAGAAGTTTTAAAATATCCCTTACAAATTATCTTAAGAGAATCCTGTCCACCTTATTTGGCTAAGTGCTGTTGCCTTTTTTGGACACAGGTAAGGTCAGTGATAAATGAGATGTGATATTTAGGTAGTTCTTTCACCTGAAGAGGTGAAAGGTCAGTATTCTCTTTATGAAAACATACATGTAAGTTTGCAGAGAAAGCTATATTTGGAATTTTAGTCCTAACTCAGCTGATAACTAGTATCATTTACATATCTGAAACGAGCATGCTGGTTTCCCTGCTCTCTGAAGATCTTTTCCATCATAAAAAACTGTAATTTTAAGCCTATGAAATTAATTTGTTTAAATATAAACATTTACTATTCATTTTGAAAGAGTAGGGATTAGAAAGAATATGCCAAACTTAATCATATTATCTCCAAATAGCTTCATCTGGGGACTGGGTATGAGGAAGTGGTTAAGTTACAATTTTGATTTTTTAAAACACTTTAATGTACATTATTTAGATTTTTGTATTAATTTTATTTTGGGGGAAAATAACACAAAATAAAACTCTTATTAAATTCTCTCACATTTGACATTTGAATGGTCTACTATTATCTGTTTTAACTGTAGAGCTCTACCCTTTCTGGAGGCAAACATCATGGTCCTGTTGAAGCTTTGAAACAAATGTTATTTAATCTTCAAGCAGTACAAGAAAGTTTTAATCAGAATAGAACTACAGATCCAAAAGAAGAGGTAAAAGTAAGCAAAAACTTGACTTATAAATTGAGATCTGGGCTGCTATTCTATAGGGGATGAATTTTCTTCATAAAGGTATAGTTTTTAAAGTCTGAATTCTAATTCTGCCACTTACTAGCAAGTAGAACATTTGTACATATCATTTCACCTCCTTAGTTTCAGTTTTAATATATTTTTTTAAATTGACAAATAAACATTGTGTATATTTTTGGTGTACAACATGATGCTTTAAAATATGTATACACTGTGGAATGGTTAAATTGAGTTAATTGACATATATTACCAACACTTAAAATATACTGCCAATAATTTTAAGTGTGCAGTGCATTATTATTAACTATAGTTACCATGTTGTACAGCTGCTCCCTTGAATGTATTTCTCCTAATTAAATTTTGTATTCTTTGACCAATACCTTCCTATCTACCAACTACCAGCCATTGGTAACCACCATTTTACTCTACTTCTGTTAGTTGGACTTTTTTGGATTCCACATATAAGTGAGATCATGTAGCATTTATCCTTTTGGACCTGAGGTTGTTGAGAAGTTGAAACAAATGATATAAAGTACTTAATATAGTGCTTTGCAACTTACTGGTAAATACTCAATAAATGTTAGCTTTGTTTTGGTTGTCATTGTTTTGTTGTTATTAGTCAATAGAGTTTTATGAAATTCAGTTTTTAATTTTTTTTAGTTGTAGATGGACACAATACCTTTATTTTATTTTATTTTTTTAATATTTGTTTTTTAGTTGTTGATGGATCTTTATTTTATTTATTTGTATGTGGTGCTGAGAATCGAACCCAGTGCGTCATGCATGCTAGGCAGACTCACTACCATTGAGCCACAACCCCAACCCCAGTACCTTTATTTTATTTGTTTATTTTTGTGTGGTGCAGAGGATCGAATCCCATGTCTTTACCATTGCGTTACAACCCCAGCCCTAAAATTCAGTTTTTAATGAGTGGATCAGCTCTTGAGAACTACTACAACCTATTCATTTGAATTATATTTAAAAAATTTTCTCCCAACATTCTAATAATCATAACATTAACATACAGAGTGTAACCCTGCTTCTTTCCCTTCCCCTTTTAAGCATCATTGAGATACCACCTTATTCAGTGAAGTTGTAATTTGAGGCAAAGATTTAATTTTTAATGGATGTAGAATTTTTTCTTTTTTAATACTTGTTTAGATATTGGTGGGCTTTATTTTGTTCATTTATTTGTATGCAGTACTGAGAATTGAACCCAGTGCCTCACACATGCTAGGCAAGTGCTTTACCACAGAACAACAACCCTAGCTCCTGGATGTATAATTTTTAATGTATAATTGAAAGATGAATCTAAGTGGTAGTTGTATTTTTAAAATAAAGGAAAAATAAAAACATTTAATGCTCTCTTAACTTGATGGTAAAATTAATTCTTGAAAATGGAGAAAATATATTTTTTATGTTTTTAATCATATTTTAATAGCATTTAATTTTGAAATTTAAAAAAATATTTTTTTTTTGCTTTTTGGTGTTTAATAATAGATTTCAGAGGATGATTTCTCTAAATTACAATTGAAGGAAAGTATGATTCCTATTACTAGGTCTCTTCAAAAGTAAGTATTCTTTACTAATATAGATACAAATTCAACTTAATAGACAGTCCTTTGACCAAAATTAGGATGGAATTAAGTAGTTTCAAAAATAGATGCATAGTAGGCATATTTAAGCTTCTTAGAAAAACATTTTCTGTTAAATCTGTTATTTCCTGTTTAAAATGTTCTAAGGACCTAATGAGATATCCTTAGACACTTAAAATATAACAGATATGAACAGCTCACTTTCTCTTTTAATTTCTGAGTAATAGCAATAATTTGAGATAGTATGTATGGATATCCTATAATAATAACTTGTGAAATGAATTTTTATAGTTTGTTTAGAATACATGTAATAGCAACAAATGTATCATTATTTGACATCTAAAATTATATACAAAGTATATATAAAGTATAATATTTGAATATAAAGATACATCTAAATTTCTTAGTTAAATTCTCTAATATAAAAGTGAAGAATATAAATCTTTTCTATGGTTATGATATTGACAAAAGAGAAAGCTCTTTATGAATTTGGTTGTGTGACTATGAAGTGTCCTCAGAAGATAGAATTACTGAGTTTAAGTTTAAGAAATAATAAGATAAAAAATTTTTCTCTTGTAACTTATTTCAAAACTTGACAATAAGTGAAGCTAACTAAATGTTTCCTACCTTTTTTAGTTTCAAAATTTGCTTAGGATTCTGTTAAGTAAATAAGTAGTGGAAAAGTATAAACATAAGATGTGAACTTAGGACTCTAATTTAATTATATACATGTTTGGTAGAAATAATGCTTCTTTCTTTGTAGCTTGTCATTGTACTTGAATATGGTGTTTTATACTTAGTAGAAATCAGTGTATAATGACAGATTACATTTATTGAATATTTGAATGTTCTAAGTGCTATTGAGTATAATTCATTCAATCCTTAAGACCCTTTGAGGAAAGTACTATTTTTGTCTTCATAATATAGATTACGTAATTGTTATAGAGTATTAATAAATAAACTTGCTCAAGGTTGCAAAGCTAGTAAGAAGTAGCATTGGGACTCAGACAGAGTAGGCAGTCTGGATTGAAAACCTATTTCTAACACTAATGATAGTGTAAATTGTTCATGGAGAATAGGACCTTAGCTGATCATCTAGGATGAAGACATCATTCTGCTTTAGATTTTGAAGTGAATGATTTCAAGCTTTTCATTGCTGTTAAAAACATTGATATTGTACTTGTGTTGCAGACCCAAGTGTGTTTTCTGAGATAAAGTACGTATCTTAAGAGATCTTTTTCTTGGTTAAAAATAAACACTGGGCTGTAAGTCACCAAAAAAACTGATACTGATCCATATGTGCTTTTAGAGTGTGCTACCTACAAAATTCTACTTTTAAGGAGAACAAAATTCATGTTTTGTTAGATTGCATTTAGTTGTTGATTTTGTTGGGATAACAGGAGCAATCTTAAATTTGAAAAGTTTTGTCAGTAAAGAATTTGAACTGTTAGGAAGTAAATTCAGATGTTCAAAAGTGTGTCAGTATACTTTTCATTGTTTTTAGTCTGTAAATTGACTTTTTAAGGGTAATTAAAAATTAATTCAATTCCAGAATTATGCTTTCTAGGTTGCAAAGTATTCTGGTTAGGTATATGGTCATCTTTTCCATGTTTTATGGTTAGGATAATATACACTATTCACTCATATTGGAGAAGTCATTGATTTTCCTCCCACTCAATAAAAATGTGTTTTATTCACAACTGTAACTGACCTTAAAAGTGCTGTCACTTGTTAAGTATGATACAAATGATATGTTATTCTTTCTTCTTAGGTTACTTGGCAGATTAACTTAAAAATTGAATGTCAAAAATACAATTTCTAAATAAATGTTTATTGAAGATTAGGAAATTATTTTAACCCTCAAATATTCAGATCTCAAAAGTTTTATAAGGAATAGTTTTCAGTAGTTTGATATTTATATTATTCTCTTGAGTTCATTTTTTCTACTAATTTTGAAGTTAATAAACAATGTAAATCACCCTTTCTTGCTGTCTTCATTGGCTATTCAGTCCTTAATGTTGGTTTATAATGTATTCTATACTTTTTAATGAAGGGCCTTGCACCACTTATCTCGCCTGAGAGACCTGGTTGATGATACCAGTGGGAAACAGTCACCGAAAATGTGAAGAAGAAAATAAAATTGTCACCAAAATAAATAGTCACCACAGAACAAATATGTATTTTTTTTCCTATTACTTAAGCTGACAAAGTAAATACAAGCCATGCACTATTCTGTCATTGATTCAAGTATATTTCTTGAAGGCTGACCTTGAAAATGTTCATAAATTTGTGACCTATCTTCATTTTGTGCCTAAATAGTAGAATGTGAACTGAAGGACCCACAATTTATGTTAAAGTGTTACTTGATCTTGATCTTTAGACCAGGAAATGTGTAATATTTAAACATGGATGATTTTAATTCTTGATGTTTTTATCTATGCTTAACCTTCTTCAGTATTCCCTTTTTTTTTTTTTAAAAAAAAAATATAGCATTCACTTTTAAGCAGCTTAAAGGAATACCAAAATTGTTATAGTTTATTTGGAAGTCTGTTACTTTTAAAATTTCAGAAATCAAATATCTCTAAGATATGTTGTATTTTTTTATGGTATCAGTTTAACAGTGGGTTATATAGAGCTAAAAGGAATTTTTTATTGTGACATCTAACAACTCATTCAACTAATGCTTTGATTCTATGTGAGATAATCTTTATAATACTTGACAGTTTACAAATCACTTTGCTGGAGACATTTGAACTTTATTAGATTATTTTCCAGATTTTAGTCTTAAGGTTAGGTATTAAAAACTGGACTTAGATTCCAGTTGCTTTATGAAATTTGAAACTAAACTTTAAAAGTGTGGAAATCAACTTGTGTATTTTAAAGATATTTTTTAAGAGTTGGGTTTTCTTTAAAGCCTCTATAGTCTTCAGAGTTTGACTCTAGCTAGAACTGAACATAGCTCTTTGATTTTTGTAATTTCTTCCAAGCAGGTGTTATAACTATTTATAATAAACAGGAAGCATTTTTATGAACAATTAAAAATTGTCATAAAGCATGACTAATATAACATATTGAACAGCCTAATGAAATTAAAGAATATCTGAACATATTTTCAAGTACTACATACTAACACTTTACCCAATGGCAGCATTTTTGCTAAGTAAATTTACTGTCAGGTATTTCTAAGCACATAGTATCAAAGAATTTTTTCCCCAAAATATTGTTTGTATTTAGTACCTTTGTTACAGAACTGAAGTGTCAAACACTAAAGACTAAATCCTGTGGGTTACCTTCTGCCCGGGAGGTTTTTTTGTTTCGTTTTGTTTTGTTACTGGGGATTGAAACGGTTACCGAAAAATGTGAAGAGGAAAATAAAATTGTCACCACAATAAATAGTCACCACAGGACAAATATGTATTTTTTTCCTATTGCTTAAGCTGACAAAGTTAATACAAGCCATGTACTATTGTATTTTTGATTCAAGTATATTTTTTAAAAAACTAACCTTGAAAATGTTCATAAATTTTGAGGGGCACTCAACCACTGAGTCACATCCCCAGCCATTTTTTTTTTTGTATTTTATTTAGAGACAGGGTCTCACTGAGTTGCTTACCACTTTGCTAAGCTGCTGAGGTTGGCTTTGAACTCACAATCTTCCTGCCTCAGCCTCCAGATCTGCTGGGATTACAGGCGTGTGCCCCTGTGCTCAGCTATTTTTTTTTTTTTTTTTTAACTTTATTGCTTTGACTGGTTCAAGAGGCACTTACCAATAAAGTTATTTTGTTTACTTTGTGGAGATGTTTTTACCACTGACATTCTATTTTATAATTATGGTCTGTTGTGCAGCAAAGAGTTTGCATAACCAAATAGGGAATTACTTTGAAGATTATATTTGGCTAATTTTTTTTTAAGAGAGAGAGAGAGAGAATTTTTTAATATTTCTTTTTAGTTTTTGGCGGACACAACATCTTTGTTTGTATGTGGTGCTGAGGATCGAACCCGGGCCGCACGCATGCCTGGCAAGCACGCTACCACTTGAGCCACATCCCCAGCCCTATATTTGGCTATTAAAAACGCAGATTTTCAGTGGGTAAACTTCAGGTGGATCTGGGTGGATCCAGTTCCAGGCCTTGTGATACCCTCCTTTAGACAAATTCTAAAGAAGGCAGAGATGATAAAGACATCAGGCAATGATTTCCAATTGCATGTTAGCTATATGTAGACCAACATAATATATACCATAGCCATAATCTCTTTGGAGATTGTGCTATAATGACTTTGAATAGTGCCAGTTTGGATTGTGCTCCTATTTGCAAGAATGTAGTTCCAATAATGAACAAGATAATCCTATTCTAAAATTGTATGTTATAACTAATATTTTAAGAAACTTTATAATACCAGTGGAGAGCAGTGTTTTCACTTTTGTGTTAAATATGGAAAAGTTTTATTCTTTTACCTACAAAAAGGAATTTATAGGCTAGGCATGGTGCCACATGTCTATAATCCCAGTGGCTTTGGGAGGCTGAAGCAAGAGGATTACAAGTTCAAAGCCAGCCTCAGCAATTTAGCGAGGCCCTGAGCAACTTAGTGCTATCCTGTCTCAAAACAAAAAATTAAATAGGCTGCGGAAGTGGCTCAGTGTTAAAAGAACCCCTGGGTTCAATCCCTGGTAACCCCCCCCCCCCCCCCAAAAAAAAAGGAATTTATCAAAATCCATTCTTCTCAAAAGAAACATGTGACTCAACTAAAAAAATCTAAATAATAAATGTTCAGGAAATTCTGTACAGAAATGATTTAGTTACATGCTTAGTTAATATTTCAAGGTTTTTTGTTTGTTTTTGAAATTTTGGGAGGAAAGAGGGATCAGCAGTATGGAGACTGCTAAGTAGAGAATTAATTAAGACAGATAATGAGAACAGTTATATTTAAAAAATTATATTGTGAATACAAAATTTTATCAATTCTTTCACTGTTTTAGGTATATTGAGAAACTGTTAAATAGAAAAAAATTAACAAATTTAGTAAGATATTTCAAAAATTTTAATTGAATATGAAAAATGTATTTTACAAAAGCCTAATCCCCCAAATTTTTTGAGATCAAGGGATAAAGATATAATCAATATAGGAAGAGTTTAAGACTGAAACATGTTGTCATCATTATCAGCGTGAATTCTACTTTCAGTCTTTTCTGTGACAATTCTTTTCTCCTTCCTAGAGATTTCTGACAAAAATGAGGTTTATTTTTTGGACATATATCACTATAATTATGTTATTTCTTTTTGAAATTTATAAATGTGCAATGTTTTGGAATTTTGTATTTAATGGTTTATAATGCCTTGTTAAATTATATGTAGTTACAAAACAATGTCACCCAAAGATAAATCATGACAAGATTCCTTGTTTTTTCCTGTGGTTTGAATACACGGGATTGCTCTTACAGATGTGAATTTTTATTTGTTTTGTTTTGTTTCTGTTTCACCCTTTACTCCTGTATTTGAAAATCTATTTAGTTGAAGTACTGTCAGGAAATGAACTTGTCAAAAGGAAAGTAGCATGAAAAGAGAAAAAAGAAGCAAAGGCCAATAAAGTTGATAGTTTTTGAGCAAGTGAGAGTTTTTGAAATGTGCAAAACTGTATATGCTGTTCCATGTATAGATGTTTTATACTTGGTTATATGATATGTTGGATTGCATTGTCTGTTATGTAAGACTGGGTAAATCTAGGCCTCAACCTTGACTGGTTGTACAAGTTATATTGTTAGGTATTTTTTCCTGTGTTATTTCATATTATTCCTTCATTTTTGTTTTTTCATAATCCCATGTCTCTTGTGGGCAAAAAATCTTGGCTTTTTATTCTCCCTGTTTATTCTACATTGCCCTTATTCTAGACAGTAACACTTTTTCTCAGATTGAAACAACTTTATCAGTCATTTATTGCATTCATTGGGACTGGTTTATTTGTTTTCTAATGCCTATTCCTACCTTAAACTTTTCTCCCTGCTGACTTTTATAGGGAAACTAGACTGAGTGGACTTAACATTGTATACCACTACTCTAACTTTGCTGATTTATTTCAACAATTTGCCTTAACACTATTGTTTTACTCAGAATCTTGCAAACTTTCTACATGTCTCCTCATCTTTGTGCATATTATTTCTCACACTTGAAAATACAGATTGGATATCCCTTTTTCAAAATGTGTGGGGCCAGGAGTGTTTCAGATTTGGAATTTTTCAGATTTTCAGAATGTTTGCATAGACTTTAGGTTGAGCATTCCTAATCCAAAATTCCAAAATATGAAATGCTACCAAATCTAAAAAATTTTGAGCATTATGTCAGTGTTAGGATTTTCAGATTAAAGGTATTCATCCAGTTTTCATTCTTTTTTTAAAGCTTACTTTTACATTTGTTTTTTAAAGCTGTCACCGAGGTTTACCTTTCCTTTTTCAGACATTCTAACCATCTTCCAAACTTGGGTAGGTTGCCTCTCACTCATTTAGCTTTTGTTTTCCTTGCTTTGATGTTTGGATAGTTCTCCTTATACTTCTTCAGGAGAGGATAAATCTCAAAAAATGTTAGCTGATTGATTGTGTTTTATTTCTTTGATGATAGTACAGCTTCTATTTCTTTACATAATCAGGAAAAAGTAAACTCTGTTGTGTATAAAGTAGTCTTAGGTATTCATTGATGATTCTAAATGTAGCTTTCCGTATAAATTATGAATTTAAGACAAAAGACACCACATCCTTTACTTATATGATATTCTGCAAATCTTTTTATTTAAAAACATTTTGTCAGGCGTGGTGGTGCATGCCTGTAATCCCAGCGGCTCAGGAGGCTGGACAGGTAGATTGCGATTTCAAAGCTACCCTCAGCAATGGCAAGGCGCTAAGCAACTCAGTGAGACCCTGTCTCTAAATAAAATACAAAAAAAGGGCTGGGGATGTGGCTCAGTGGTTGAGTGCCCTTGAGTTCAATCCCTGATGCCAAAACAAAACAAAACAAAAAAACATTTTGATAACTATTTCTCTTATTATTATTAAAAACAATTTTAGCAAGTTAAGAGTAACAGATTTTCCACCAGCTCCCTGCTCCCACACACTCATAGCTTTCCCTCTTTTCATCATTTACTGCCAGAGTCATAGAGTTGGTGCCATTGATGAACCTGGCTTGTCATATCCTCACCCATTAGGGTTCACTCTTGGTACACATTCTGTGGATTTGGCAAAGATACAAATGACATATGTCTATTATAGTACCATACATACAGAGTAGTATTTCATTGCCCTAAAAATCATCGTACTCTTATTATTCATTCCTCCCTCTCTCGATGCTATGTAAACACATTTTAAGATGAAGTAAATTATACATATTTTGGAGACTTATTTCTTCCTTTTTTGATGCTGCTGCTGCTGTTCATTAAATAGGATCAGCAATTGTGTAAGTATTATGGATGTTATAAGCCTCT